AGCGCGACAGGGATCGCATCGTCGGGCACGGAACCCGGGTCCGTCATCATGGCTAGTGCAAGGTAGGCGCAGGACCAAATCGCATTATGATGTACCTTTGCCATGCGAGACGAGCGCCATAAAGCACAGCAGCGTAAAGACAGAGATGTGCAATAGGCCAAGCAGGCTGGCGCCCATCCAGGGCACGAGCGACGACGCCCTAGCCCACGTGTCGTCATGCCGCCGTAAATGGCAGTGGCATGGCACCTACCACGACGACGTACTCGGCGTAGACGACGAGGAACCACGAGATGGCGGCGCAGACGAGGCCACAGCAGTCCCAGTTGAGCCACACGGTGGAGCGGAAGCCTGTGCCACAGCGGTCGGGCTGGCGCCGCTTCTCGAACTCGTGGCGCATCGGCGGTCGACCTTCGAACCTCGATTTTAAAGGCCGGTCGGCGGTTCGGATACGGTGCCACCAGTGTATCCGGACGATCCAGAAATAGCCGTCAAACGGTGTTTATAAGGGATCTGAAAGGCGGTGGACCGTAGAAAGGTACTTCTACCCGACTTTGCATACTCTTGTGGGACAACCAAGATCGTCCATGATGTGGGTGTTTCGCGCCTGCAAGGAGTCGAAACGGTCTTTTCAAGAGAAGGCGGCTCAGCGAAACCAACGACTGGTCGGAAGAGCCTAGCATTCTAGTTTTCGATCTCCGCTAAGCAACCCGCCACGCCTCACCCGAGGTGCAGCGGTAATGCAGGCCTCACGCCCTTTTTCCCCCTGAGCGAAGAAGCCATGTGAAAGTTATTTCCAACTGCGTTACCTCCAATGCATTGATGAATTGGGCGTCTTTCGTATACAAGCGTCACAATGATCTAGCAGAATCTGTTCGCTGGCACTAGGACTGAAGCGGCCAAAGTTGGTGCGTCACAGACGATGCGGCACAGCGGGCCAACCGCAGAGCATCGCGATCACACCAACAGCTCTGGCCTTGTTGGATGTGTCATGTGGCAGCTCTGGTAGAAACGTAGAAACAATTTCGTTTTGCGCGGAGGGAAAATGAGTGGTGATCGGCAAGAAGACATGATTGATTGCCACTGGTAGAGCGTGGACTTGCGTCTGAGACGCACAGAGGGCCGGTGGCGGTAGAGGCCGCGACGCCTTGCACGAGCATTGCAGTCATCGCGTTGCAACCGTCCAAAGCGAGCTGCAAGAGAGAAGATTAGGGCTACGCTACGCGCCATGTGGCGAGTAGCATACCGGTACCGGTCCTGCAGCCCCACACCACTGGCCTCACACGCAAGTGATCGCCGTCATCACGCTGCGACGCGTGCATACGAGCGCGATCTCGTTTGCTACGGACACACTGCAAGTGCATTACGCCGCACCGACGGCATTCCAGCCAACGCATTGGCGTCGTCCAGTCTATCACCACGCAGAGCACCCAATAAGAACGCCCTACATTTGTAGTACATCGTGTGCATGGGTCCCTCCTTCTTTTCTCGCAGCGCTTGCACCCAATGGTGTGGCGAGCGAGCGTCGCAGCCGCAAAGCCACACGGCACACACCAACACTAGCTGCACAAACACTGCCGTCTTGCTGCCTTGCATTTGCGAGCTCTAGAAAGCTTGGCTTTCTCGGCATTCTTGTCTTTCGACGTGACGTCTGTGGTTCAAAAGTTGCGCCAAGGCGGGTTGTGTGTGCCAAGGTGATCTGAGGACGCCAGTAGAGTTGTACTACTCTCCACCGCGTCGCTACATGCCCCTTGGTGATAAAAATGAGCTGTTCCCACCGAGCGAGAGAGGCCGACGCATCATCATCATCATCACCCGCCTTGAAGCGCCGTCGTGTGCATGGCCGGGGCAACGGCGTGTGGCATACTACCGATAGTTGATACCTTGGGTGCCAACGGCAACGTGCAGCCCGACCTGGTCGCGCCTTGTGAGCGACGCCGTTGCATGGGTGCGACGGCTCAAGGACCATAGCACCGTCACCCGCTGGAGCAAATTACGTGGCTGCCATCGAACGCACGTGGTGTCTGTATCTTGGGCGCCGCAATCTTGATGGCCAACTGCTTGCAGGACATGCGGACCCAAGCCATCGGATTGGTGCAGACGTCCCCTACACACCGCTCCCGTCGCGCTGCGACACGCTGGTATGCCGCCGTCGTCCAAGTCTCTTTTCGATGACAAAGAGTCTTCTCACTTTTGCATTTGCCTTCAAGCCTTCAAGTCCCGATGCAACTTGCCGTGTTGTTCTCGCTGGTCGCGGGCGTCCTTGGCGCCAACTGCGCCAACAGCTCCGTCGTAACGCGCGCGCCGACGGCGTCGCTTCAGATCCTCTCGTACAACGACGTGTACGAGATGAAGCCCGAAGACGATGCGACCCAGCACGGTGTGCTCGTCGGCGGTCCGTCCCGCGTCGTGCCGCTCGTCCACACGATGCGCAAGAATTTTGAGAACAGCTTGGTCATTTTCGCCGGCGACACCATGTCGCCGTCGCTCTGGTCCGGCCAGTTCAAGGGCCTCCAGATGATCGAGGCGCACAACGCGCTCAACGTCGACTTTGCGTGCCTCGGCAACCACGAGTTTGACTTTGGCATTGACGCGTTCCTCAACGTCTCGAAGGCCTCCAAGTTTCCGTGGCTCAACGCCAACGCGTACGAGAAGGCGACGGGTCAGCTCCTGCGCGAGACGACCCCGCACGCGGTCAAGACGCTCACGTCGCCGACGATGGGCACGATCAAGATTGGCGCGTTCGGTGTCATGTACGACATGAAGGACGACTCGAAGGGCATGTACTGGACCGACCCGATCGCGGCGGCGAAGGAGCAGGTCAAGTACCTTCGCGAAGTCGAGAAGGTCGACATGGTCATCGCACTCACGCACCAGCTCTGGGACGATGACAACCGCTTCTCGCAGGACGTCAAGGGCGTCGACATCATCTACGGCGGCCACGACCACTCGGCGATGCTGCAGTCGACCTTTGGCGCGTGGTACCTCAAGTCGGACCTCAACTTTCGCTCCGTGTGGGTCTCGGACATCAAGTACTACGGCCCGTCGACCGAGGGCAAGACAAGTTCGCGCCGTTCATCAAGCAGAGCCACAAAAACCTCGCGATCACGGGCGATATGCCGACGGACGAGGCGTTCGAAGGCGTCATCGCAACGTACGAAGCCAAGATCGCGACGCTCTTCAACCGTGTGATCGGGTCGCT